GGAAACGTGTTGAAGTTTTTCGTGAATCATCAGCAGCAAGGAAAACATGCAACGCTGTTGCAGTCTGATGTAAGCCACAGTGTTTTTTTTCTCCAAGCTAGTTTTACAAATTTACTAGAATATGGCTTTCTTTGTTTTTCCAAGCTTATTAATGAAGGTTTTGAAAATTTTCAGATCGAAGCACTGCGTACTAAACTTGAAACCAAAAATATACAAATAGAACAAAAAGAAAAAACCTCTGAACGGTTGGAAGCAGATTTAGCGGTCGAAAAGAACAGAGTATCAGACCTTCGCGATAGCAATAGAGTATTTCTTTTCATCTTTAGTAACATTGGATTAAATACACCGTCCATTAAATTTCAAACGAATTATCACTAAATTTAAATTTAATTGTATGAAATGTTAATAAATTTGCATGCAGAATTATGAGCAAAAAATCAGTCAGTTGTTGGCTCGGATTGGTGCTATGGAAGGTGTACTGCACGAAAAGGAAAGTGAACTAGAAAAGGTCAAGCAAAAACTTTTGAAAAATCCGGACGTGCAAAAGGAAGAAGAGTTGCAGATGCAGCTTGATGAAGCTAATAGGTTAACATAATATTACTGTTTTAGGCTAGTCGTATCTAATTATTTTAAAGAACAGTCTTTAAACTTTTAGGTGAGCTGTTTCGCATTCTGTTGAATTAACTCAGTTTTTTTAAACTTACATGCTTAATCACTGCATTGTTTGCTTGTCTTCTTTTTATGGTTTACTATAGCCAATAGTTACAGGGAAAAAATGAGGATGCAGTCGTTGCTTAACGAGCTACACCATAATGCAGAAAAAGAAAAAGTGCAGCAATTAGAAACATTTCAAGCGGAAAATCGGCAATTAATAGCTACAATCGAAAGTTTGCAAAAAGAATTAGCGGACCGGTAGCTTTCGCATTGTTTGTTGTTACAGCATTCAGTTTTTCAGACAAAATTTTCGAATTTTACCGAGTTATTGTTGTTACAGAAAATCATATTATAGCGATAACTTCCTCATCCCAATGCAGATTTCCGTGTTACTTCCGGCATAGTTGGTAAGGAGGTACTGATCAAGGGTGAGCTTAATCTGACGTTGGAGGAAAGAATCATTTGCCAGTAACCTATAAAGTTATATGAGAATCAGAAAGGGAATAAATTACCCGATTACTGAACGGTTTCAGAGAAGTACTACTAGAGTCACAATGTGAAAAAATAGGCGACTTGGACCGAGAACTTGTAACAGCAGAACGGCAATGCAAAGATCGTGCACCACAGCTTTTAAACGACGAAGAGGTGAGTGGTTTCAGAAAATTGTCAAATTCTACTTTTTATCTGTAATAAACGGGCATCTCTCAGTATGACATTATGCAATGTTATTGATGTGGAACATCAAAAAATCTGCTTTTTGAAAATCCGCGGTGATTAAATTACATTTTCCAGCTTGCTGAAGCAAGAAAAGAGATTGAATCCCTTCTTCGAATGGTGCAAATACTTGAGAAAGAAAAAGCTTCTATAATTTCGCACTATAAACAACTGCAAAGGTATATTCTTAGTTTTCCAGTTTTCACATTATTTTGTTTTTTTTGCCTACAATCTCCTTGAAGAAGATTCTTTTGACGTGTTTGGGTAAGTTCTCAACTAGAAATTCATTTCATTCTTTTTTAGCAAATTGGAAGATATTCATAAAGGTGATGCTGCTTCGACAGTTGGTCAAACTCGATCCGAATTTTCTGCCATCTCAGCTGAAGGATCTCTTAAATCTAGGTTCTGCTCTCCATTTTTCATATTTTTTCCTTTTTTCTTTTGCATTTTCCAGTATTTCTTGCTCACTACAAAATCGTAGCTTTTTATTGTAATGGTCTTTCCAACTTTATAGAGTGGAGGAACTAGAAGAGGCATTGCGTGAATCAGTAAGTATAACGGCCGAAAGAGAGCTTCATGTGGCCCAACAAAAGCAGCTCAATCAGCAACTTGCTGCTCAAGTATGCATTACCTGTTTGTTCTTTTTTAAGTGAATCATGTTTAGTTGGATGAACAGAAATTCTGTAACGTTTTAAACTTAATTTTTCATGTTTTTTTTTTTTCATATTGTAATCAATTTAAGTTAACCGAATGTCGCCGTGAATTAAATGAGCTTCGACGACATGTGAAAAAGTTGACAAGTAATGAGCGAGAAGAAATGTTGCGTTCTTTGGAAGTTGAAAAGCGCAGGCATATCGAACAGCTACTGCAGCTGAAGTTAGATTTTTCTTGAAAGTTTATGTGGTGGGCAAGACCATGATATTTGGTTCATCTAGCATTTTCATGCTACTATAATTATACTGAATTCATAGGCATGAAGCGTTGGTAGCAGCAATTGCCGAAAAGGATGCTCACATTGCATTATTGGAGCAGTCGAGGGAAAGACCACGAGAAGAGATAGAGACCCTACGCCGTCATAAAGAAAAATTGATGGAAAAATTAAAAGAAGAAAATGAACGTCGCGCCCAACTTCTCAACTCCACTAATTTAAGCGTAGGTATGCGAATCAACACTTTTTTTTTTTTTTCAAAAACCAGAGTTTAGGATTTTAAGGAAAAGTATTCTTTATGTGCCCTAAAAGTATGGGTCTTTTACTTCACTTCTTTTGTAAGTATTTAGCCAACAATCTGTCAAGAGAAGGCGGTCTTGCTACGGTTAGTGCTGCCAGTGCTCCAGGAAGTCTTGCTACACCGCGACAGGCTATTACAGATCAGGTTGGGCTTCTTTTTGCACGAAAAACCTTTTGTCTACAAGCCATTTATGTTTATTTTTTGTGAGATTTGTAGTCCTATCCAACTAATTTAGTGTTACATGCATTAAACACTGACACATTATTCGTTTTTGTAAACCTTGCTTTATTTTTAAATTTCCTACGGAAGACTGTTTCATTATCTTAGTTTAACGATTTAACTGTTTAGAAATGATCTCGTTCGTTTTGGCAATGAATTTTTAGACGAGTATTGACTTTTTGACCTTTGGTGTAAAGCAAACTATCAGTGAATGTGCGAGATCTTTGGTGCGTCACGTTTTAATATATCTTTACTTTTGAATTTCTTTAGGAAGACGACGCAGAAGGTATTTGGGCATAGAAGCATTTCAAGTGATAAACGAAAATTAGAAATTTAACTGCCGTATTTCATTTCTTCCAATTATATTTTCAGTTGTTCAACAGTCGTTTTCACTTCGCTTTATCATCTGTACGGGTTTTTATAATTTATAGACATTTACCAGATATCGGGTCTTTGACAGTTTATATTTTCTTATGGTGTATGCCACCTCACAGTTTGTTCGCGATTCATCTGTTACATTTTTGCAAAGTATTTTGTACACTCACACATAATTGATATCAGAAAAGTTATTTATTCATTCCAACTTGAATCATGTACTAAGTTGTTTTGGTCTTCCTTTATAACCTTTAAAAGGATTTTTCTTGATGTAGTTAAATCACCACTTTCTTTTATTCAGTTAACTGTTGATATTCGATATCTTTAGGATTAATTTTCAGCTTTTTGGAAGAAGTATCTTCGACACTGTCCGTTTTCTGCATTTTCACATACAAATCATCATTAACTATTTCTCATTTCGGTTGAAATCTTGGACAGAGAGGTTATCTGAATGTTTTTTAGGCCTGAGGAACCATTTCCGTCTGTGCTTACTTGTTCCACAGTTGCGCACTTCATTATGGATTTCGAAATAAGTTAGCTACATTTAAAAAGGTGCTCTTTGTTAGTTAGAGATGAATACTTCGGTTTTTTTTTTCCGAAGACAAATTTTCAAAACCAAAAAAGCAGACCTCACAGTTCATGGATCTTCACACCTAATTTCACTTTCGAAACAAATTTGATTCGTTAAGTTATGCTGTATTTACTTTCCTGTTATTCATGGTGTTTCCCTTATGAATGTCCTGTATTAATAAAAAGTTTATGAGCGCTTATAAAATGATGATAACGGATATCCTGCGTTTCTGCCAAAACAGGTCTAAAATAATCGGAATTCTCGATATTTGAGAAGGCAGTGAGCGCATGTTCTTTCCATCAGTCTTGGGTTTTAATTTGTGTAGTAATAAGTATTTTGGTCTGCTTGGCTCCTGGCCATTATCACCACGGCATTCTTCCACAGAAGTCAGTTTAGCTTCTAGAATATACGTGGACTTATTATTCTATATCAGTGGTAAAGTTATGCTTGCGTGTCGTCTTATGGATTTTAAGTTAATGAGAGAAATAGAGTGGCAAGTTGTTGCGAAGTTACAAAGAATGATCGGACAATGGTAGCTATGAAAGAAGAGGAACGTGGTGCTTATGTAATTTTCCCAATAAACCAGCAATTACAGAATCTTTTTGCTGAATTTGGTCGAAATAAAATTATGCGAAGGTAAATAGAACTGAACTTTTCGTAGGTCAAAGTTCCAATTCTTTTTTTTTTTGCTAGAAGTTTAATCGAATTTTATTCATTCATGGGGAGGAGCGATTCCGTATGTGCTCCAAATCATTGCGTCGGAAAAATCGTTTTGCGCATATTCAATTTAAAAAGTCAGGGATTAGGGGCTTCTTTAATTGAATCTAGTTTACTTTATATTGAATCTTTTTGGAGTCTAGTTTCTTTTATAAATATATATTCTCTAGT